GTCTGAAGATTAAGCCTTGTCTACTTGTCTAATTTTTCATAATATTTCTTGACAGAGGTAGGTGTAATAACAAAAAATTTTAGTTTTAGTTCGACTCAAAGGGTTTCAGTTTCATTTTCGCGTCAGGGATCAAAATATTAGACTAGAGCGCGGCGGGAATGCGACCATGCGTAAGTTTCATATTTTTAAATGTCGACATAGATCGTGATCTTTTTATCATTTTACAAAGTCTATTGGTATTTTTCCGTTAAGGTAATCATTTTTGTTCACTTTAGACAAAAAAAACCTCAATAATTTTGGTCTGAGTATGCTGGTAGAAAATTGAATTCGCGTGAGCCACGAGAACCTCGTGGTCATGATATTTTGCTGACTCGCGCACATCAATATGCAAATTTGGTCTCACCACGACCTCGTCCTATCAAAATCGCATGCTGACATTTACTATCATGTGATTGTAGGACTCTTAATCGAACTTTCAGAGTCACGATTGGGCATATGCAATGAAACGCGTCACATTTGTTTGCAGCGTTAAACCCATGCATCCCATAGTAGTGCCATCCTTTCACAGAAGGGATGACACTTTGATAGGCAGTATACAATCTATTTCATTGCCACAACCCTGTGGTTTAGGACTAGAGGCTCAAAGTGGAATCACAGGATCTTTCAAAGAAGCTTACATCATGACGACTCTCCAAAGAGTCGGATTTTACGACTTATTAAAAAAGTGCAAATACTTTTTACTGCAAAAGACTTAGGAATCACAATATTTCATTTAATTAACAGCTACACCAACATGTGTACGAGCTGTCAACCTGAGTGTTGAGAACTGTAGTGGTAGGTGAAAAATATGTTTCTGTTTATAATTTACCTATTAACTGATTTGCATGTTTTTGGCTCTTAAACATCAGTCGTTCAACGCATTCACAAGGACATTATCAGCAAAAACAAGGCCTTCAGAGAGAATCACTTTTGACTTTTGACTGAATAATATAAACTCATGGTGACCACTGAAGGTGTCAAAGAATAAATTTCCCACCCCTGTTCTTAACCTACAGCTAATAGTTAGTTAGTAACTCATTCTCTAACAAATTTAAGGCAGCTTCTTGGTTATGTCCAGGTACGTACTGAGGTTAAAATAGCAATATATGTTTCAATATATCTTTTAGTTGCCCAAGGTCTCAAGAATTGTATTAGTGTACGACAAATATGACATCTAATTTGGTTATACTTTTTCTTTTCTCAACAGTTCCCGTATGATGGTAAACATATCACTTAACAATCAAAAAGCTAATTATGTATACCTTGGTGAAGGCTCTCCTGTTACCCACCTGATCAAGCTCCTAGAATGAGAAGATGGTTGTGGTGCCTGTTACAATGAGGTACCTGGGTGCAAGAAAAACTATTGTCTTAGACATTCAGGAGACAAAACTCTAAATATAACATTAAAAGAGATTACCAAGTCCATGGAGGGCTTTTACAGGTTATATCCATACTGCTTAGGAACTAACCATAACTGTACAACACGCCAACCTTTAAAGAGTTTCATGCTCTTCATTGAAGGTAGAGTCAGATCACTTACTTTAACCTTTTAACTCCCAGAAGTAATTAACATGCAACTTCTCCCCTGTAACATGCATACATTATCCAGAAAATGGGTTGCGAGAATACTCGAAATTATCAGGTACAAGATATTACCTTGATGAAACACCAAATTCTCATAACCAATTTACAAGAAAATGTGGAGCACCTAGAGGAGAGAATATCCTGGTTGCCTCCATTGTTGTTTTAAATAAAATTCCTTAGAATGTGCTTCTATCTCAGTAAGCCTAGTGTATATATCTAAAGAGCATCTTTGCTTGCATGAAGCTATGACAACTACTGAGACAGACTCAGGCCCTGCAGAGCAGGTTTCTTCACTAGGTAAAAAGGTGTATCTAATGAGGAAATGCTGGAGCAGAATAATAATTGTCTACATGTAGCTATTTCTTGAATACTTCAAAATTGTATCTAAGGTTTCTGCAAGCTAAGTGACTGTGGCCCTGATGGTGGTGTAAAAAATTAAGGCTGAGTTAAATTTAGTGATTGTGCAACTTAAATGTGATTTTACAACCAAGTAAATTGTGGCTCATATATAATGAGGAAAAAAATTAGAATATAGGATAAGGCATTTATGTTGTGAAAAATACTCCTCATGGCCCTAGGTTAGGACACTTTTATATGGTAGAATCACATTGACTTCCAACTTGACTTTTGGTATCTGCTTACTGAAAAGGTGAACAGCTACATTGTAACTTAATGTGAAAAAGCGATGACACAAACTTGCATTTTCATCATTGCAGATAAGCCAGAGCCAACTAAAGTGACAACAGTTGAGACAGACTCAGGTCCCAGAGAACAGGTTTCTTCAGGTAAAAAGGTGTATGTGATGAGGAAATGCTCATGCAGAATAATAATTAACAAATGAAAGTGTCTTAGCTGAAAAAGCTTTTCTTGTGAGACAAATTAGCACACTATTCATTATACAGTTTTTCTTGCTTTAATTTGTTCTAAATGTAAAATGACAACAAAAGTCACATAATTATAATATAATTATGAATTCATCCCACTCAATGCCTTGACTGACAGCAGGCTTCACTGCAGTTAGAATCTCATACAGCTTGTGTACTTGTACTTCTCATTGTTTACTTTTTCTTTTTCTTCTTTCGCAATTACAGGTAACACAAATGATGTGGTCATCACAGGGGCTGTTTCTGCTACAATCATAGTTCCCATCTTGATGGTTTGGTTTACAGTTTAACCCCTCCCTTTCTCTCATTTTTGTCTGCTTTGAAGCCACAGATACTGCAATTTTGTATTATTTTTGCTATAATGTGAATATTCCCCTGTAAATAGGTACTTCATCTAGATTTATAAGTAAAGTGTATATGTTTGTAGTGAGCCAGACAAGTTTGAGAAATCATATTTTGAGGGATATTCTAAATGAAATGATTTAGCCCCTCCCTTTCTCTCGTTTTTGTCTGCTTTAAAGTCATAGATATATTGTAATTTTTTATCATGTTGAAGCTGGATTTCAACATTTCTGTGATGACAAATATAGCGAATATTACTCTGTTAATAGGTACTTCATTTAGATTTGTAAGTGAAGTGTACTTGTCTGTCCCAGACAAGTTTGAGAAATCATTTATGGAGGGATATTCTGTATTATGTTAATTAAATTCTTGTGTGACGTGGCAGTAGGATTGGAGGCAACTTTATCCCTAGTAGAGAATTTATTTGGACATGGCAAGCAATGCAGATTGAAATAATTTAACCCTTTAACTCCCATGAGTGATCAAGACAGAATTTTTCCTGACAATGTCAATACAATATCGACCAGATAAGTGATGAGAATAAAGAAATATATCAATTTGGGGATAACTAGTTGATCCAATACTAAAATTCTCTGATCTAACGTTGTAAGAATTGTATGGTTGACAGTAAGGAGAATTACAAATTTGATCTGGGAGTTAAAGGGTTAATAGGCTGTTTTGGATTTCGATATGAGAATATCATCACATGTAAAGTGTTACAAATTGTAAAATGATGAGTAATAAGCAGTACTCACATTATTTTGTTGCATTGACTTGTTCTATAGTGGCCCAAAGGATTGCATTTCCAGATTATTAATTTATTTGTTATTTATTTTTTTTAATGTAGAATGGATGTAAAGTTATATACCCTGCTAACTTGGAGTCTTAGGGGAACTGAAAAATAGTTTGAGTTATCGGGGCTGGGTGTTAAATCTCAATTATCTTGTTTTGAAATACCGTATTTATTCGCCTATAAGCCGAGACCCTAAACTTTTTCATGTCAGCAGCTGTTGCATTGAAATTAAAAATAAAAACAAAACATTCGGCTATAAGCCGAGACCTAATAATTGCAAAGTACTCCACGCGTGTCGTTAACTGAGATGTATTAACATAAACCGAAAACAAAAGGAGCTTCCCTCTCGGGAAACAGGCAACCAAAAGTAGGTTATGAACAAACATATTCATTAAGTCCAATTTACTCAGTTGTTATTGGTCGTTTAATTGAAAGTAACAACAAATCACAGATAAGTTGAATTTAATGTAAATAAATAGAACCATGCGTGACATAACAAAACATTCACCTGAGTTCAGAATCCTGTCTCAAACAATCGCTCTCTTTCAAAGTTATCGTAATCGATCATCATGCCGAAAGTTCGTCGTTCTTCATACAACTTAGCGTTCAAACTAAAAGTCGTTGCTGAAGCAGAGGCCGTCGAGAACAACTCCGAGATCAATGATGAAATTAGAAGATCCTCGCAGCTAAGAACACTACTGAAACTAGTAGTTGAAAGTAGGACCTGAAAAAAATTTCAGGCCCGTACGGGATTTGAACCCATGACCTCTGCGATACCGGTGCAGCGCTCTACCAATTGAGCTAACAAGCCAACTGGGAGCTGGTCAATGAATTGGGTACAAATAAACATCCGAGTGAATGAAGATTTAGATATATGAAAATTCACATATATGAAAACAATGAATATAACTCCGAGATCGCTAGAGATTACGGAATCAGTGAATCGATGGTGCGTCGCTGGCGAAAAGATCAAGCGAACCTGTTTAATGGTGAGCTTAAAATGTCAGCAAAGCGAAAGACGATGGGCTGCTTTTCGCCAAAGTATCCTGAATTGGATCAAACACTACTGGACTGGTTTTCAGAGCAGGGGAGTCAAGTTAAGTCTCGTTTCTTTAAAACAATGAAAAGCTTCGATCAGCTGATATCTGTCAGATCGTGTTGCAATGTTTACACTAACCGTGGGAATGACTGCTTCTGATTGGCCAGTTTTTCATGTTGTCAAAACAAGTCAAACAATTGATTTCTTTTATCTTTTACAGGAATTGCTGTAAGCGGATCAATTCTACGGCTAAAAGCGAAGGAGTTGAGCAGTGATCCAGACTTCAAAGCCTCACTGGGTTGGTACCAGAGATGGAAAAAGCTCCATTCCATCAGCCTTCGCACTAGGACAACCCTGGCCCAGTGACTCCCACAAGATCTGGAAGAAAAGACCATCCAGTTCCATCGGTTCGTGATCGCACTTCGGCAGCGGTATGGCCATTCGCTCTCCAGGCTGTTCAATATGGATGAAACTCCTATGCGATTCGAGCTTCCGTCGAGCAGAACCCTTGAATTCAGTGGCAGCAGAACAGTTCCAGTGAAGTCTTGCGGCGCCGAGAAGAGGAGCTTTACAGTCACACTCGCAGTCGCCGCCGATGGCAAAAAACTTCCACCTTCCGTGATCTTCAAAGGTGTTCGCACTCCAAGAGACCTCGCTGTTCCAGACACTGTTCGAGTATCGTTCCACAAGAAGGGCTGGATGGATGAAAAAGGTAGGAATTTGTCACATTTCTATTTCATAGCTCACTGGTAATTGATGTTATGCTCAAATGACTGATCTTCGCATTCTGTCAATTTATTCTAATTGGGTATTCTGTTATTTATTTCAGGAGTGAAGGAGTGGATTCGTACCTGTTTGCCACGGAATCCTCGGATTGGTCGACAGTGGACCACTGCAGAATGTCAAGCTGTAACCAAATTGGCTATTACTGATATTCGAAAGCTCGACTATAATTCACTTAATTAAACCGAACACGATTACAGAGCATCAATCTCTGCGACCAAGGGTATGATAGTCTGCATTGGACTATAGGTTCCACGTTTCATTGACACCTCAGAATGATTTGTAAACAAAAATTGCATTCAAAATTTTCGATAACATGTTACCTAAGTAGTATCATGATTATGACAATTGTTAATAGCGGAAGTCCTTAGTGATAGGGAATCGCACTTTTTTTCAGACTCACCTACAAATATTGCATGTACTGCCACTCAAACATCTAGAATTTACGTGCAATGTTTTAATTGCATTTACTAGAGAGCGCAAAACATATCATTCTTACCTGAACTCTCCATCTTTTTCGACATGATTAACATGGAGGCTAACAAAACAAGTTTTGACCAAAATATCATTTTCATTAATGGCCGGACTCTTCTGGTAAATTACATCGTTGTTGACTTCCTCGGTGAGTTTCTCTGACTTGCGAGTGCTAAATCAATTCGAGAGGAACAGACTGTAAACGAAGATTTTAGCCTGAACAAGGTTTGTCATGCCTCTCAGCGGATTTGGTGGAAAGATGTTGATGCAACTGAACCTTTGTACGAAATGAAAAACAATTCTCAGAAACTATTAGCATCGTCTGGTACGACGGGTGATATGATTTGCTTATCGTTTGTCGCCGTTTCAATTCTTAGAAAAGCAGCAGGTTATGACCCTTTCTGTCAAACACTGATATTTCATTGGAGAAATTATGGCGTATCAACCTTGTGGGGGAGGGGGAGTTCATATTAAGTATCCAGTCCATATACATAGAATAGCGATAGATTATCCATAAAAAGGCAACCCATGCTAATAAAACACGAGCTAAATTGATAAAATTATTCGAATCTAAAAGTTTCGCATGAAAGTTTTTACCAAGTAACGGGTGAGTGATAAAGATAAATTTAGCACTAATTGTTGATGATAAATCTATTTAATGAGTTGAAGTGTTTGTTTGTCGTGTGTTTCAGACTATAAAAATCCCTTTAAGTCCAGTCTGAAATCCAAGGCACTACCCAGTTGATAATCTTTTTGATCAATACAATATTTGCGTAGTCTTACAAGTTAGAAACTTCTGTTTCAAGTACATTCATGAGAGTTTCAGTTTCCTAATTGGCAGTCTACTATGGAATAAAAGTTCGAGCGTCTGGTTTTTGAAGTGCGTGATTAACTTAATTATGCCCTGAGGGCTGAATGTTAAAACAGTTGGACTTACAAAAAAATCAGTTTCGGTAAACATACCGTTAACTGACATAATTAAAGGAGGAGATAGATACAAGATAAATTAGAAAGAATAAGATCGGAGGAGATCTGAGAGTGTACGGGAAGGAAAGTGAAAGTGTGCCCATATTCTGAATTCAGACACATGGTACATTCCCTTTCAGCCTTTAATGCTTTCGAGTCGCTTCTGGCATAAAGTCAAAACAATTATTTACACCACGTGTCATTAACGTGTTTCCTGTTTTTCAGAAAAGCTCTTTTTAGCCTGTGTCACCATAAATAGCTGACTAATTTACAGCTTTGTATTGCTGCTTTAAGTCAACGGTTACTCGCGAAACCAAACACCGCATAACACATCGCGTGACACTTTCATGAATAAATACATATGTGTCCGAGAATTAATTAATTAATTTATTTATTTATTTGCACAAGATCATCATTATAACACTACATACTGCAACGCAATTAATATAATCCTGAGCGGGAAGTCTCAGAAGCCTAATCCTTCGTCTTTTTCGAGATGTGAGCTTGGGACTCTGCTCCAACTCCCTAATTGCAAGCGCAATAACAATCTCAAGAAACCTCACC